AATGGAGAGCGAAATCCCAAAATGTCGGCCTACCTGATTGATGGTTTTGGCCTCCGAAGTAATGGAGCGACAGCTCGCTGAACTGGCGAGTAATCTCGTCAGAGAACAGGAGGGAACGAAACCGTGGGAAGAACTTTTGATGTCTCTCGGTCTTTCAAGCACCGAGTTATTTAGGCATAAAGAAGAAAACGGATTTAATTTGTGGGGGCAATGTTTTTACGCCTTGGTGCAGTGGAAACGGCGTTATTATAAAGAAGCCACGATCAAAAGACTTCTCGCGGAGTGTCAACGATGTAATATTTCGATTGGAGCCTACGATTTTTTATGCCCGGAGTAAAGTTTTAAGGGAGTAAAACCGAATCTATGTGATTTATGTTTAGAAACTGACGTCATGCAACGTCATATCAATAAAACGATAATCCTTTTGTTAAAAAAAGGATGAGTCATCCTCTCAAGAAATGATGTCACGAGATATTACAGGCAGTTGCGCAATATCTCATTCAGGAAAATGAAATAAAAGCGAGTGGAACAACGCGAAAGTGATATTTTCTGGAAGACGTTCAATCGCGAAAGACCTACGTTCCTTCCAGTTTCTTATGGCTTTATTTCTTATCACACGCAGATATGGAACACGTCGATCTGGTCGAAGATGAAGTCATCGACTTGACCATGTCCGACGACAGTAAGTTTCTTTTTATATACACGTGCATGTATTTTGTTGTCTTTGTTACTGTAATGCCAGCGATGTTTTAATACAATCAGATTTATATTTGTATTTCATACGCAGACGACGACGTGTTTTTGCCGGCAAGCCCGGCACCCGCTCCACCCAGCCTGGCACCCGCTCCACCCAGCCCGGCACTCGCTCCACTCAGCCCGGCACCAGCAGTCAGCCCACCAGCACCGGTCAGCCCTCCGCCACACAGCCCCGCACCCCCACCTCAGGACCCACCTGCTCCCGACGCTGACAATGTATATACGGAGGTGTTCATTCTCATGTTCGCTCACGTGGCGAGATGTATTAACGTGATGTTTAGGGACTTCGTCCAACGTAAATGTGAGGGGTGTGACATTGATCACCCCTCACAGACGCAACATATGTGTATAATGGAGACCAAAGAGTCGC